CATTATGCTTAAATAATTTATTATTTAACTTCGAGTGGTTTCAAATTTTTACTTATACTCGTTCTAGTTATAAAAATATATCACTTAGACACCTTGTGGTCTTATATATACATAATATTTTTTTCTCAACATTTATCTTATATTATTATCATATTATAAATTAAAATTATGTACCGAAAAATATAAATTATTTATTTAAATTTAAATTATTTTTAATTAATAACAATATCATTATGTCCTTATAATTTTATACATATAAAAAAATTTATTTTCCCTATTTTTTATTATATATCCTCATGCATTTAAGGAAAATAAATAAATAAATAATTAAAAAAGAACTTCTTTTTGTCATGAAAATAAATTCAAATCAATATTATTTTATTGGAAAAACTTTATTTACACCCATTGTGATTTTATGATTTAACACTTGAACCCCCCCCCCCCCCCCCGTGGTTATAAACTTTTTGTGTTTAAATAATTTATCATTTAACTCCATGTGATTTCAAATTTTCAATTATACTCATTGAGGTTACAAAAATATATCACTTAGACCCTTTGTAATTTTATAAATATAAAAATATTTACTTTTTCTAAATTTAATTTTATATAATAATGATATTATGAAATAAAATTATAATAAAATTAATATTTAATATGAAATTGAAAAATATTTCAAGTTATTTCTTTTGAAATTAATTTATTAATTATCTTAATTTTTTATCTTAAAATATATATTATTTAAGATAAAATAAATATGTATTATCAAAATAACATATTTAATTTCTTTAGATGATTTTAGAACGGTATGGGTAAAAAATAGATAAAATAATATAATATTTGATTAGAATTTATTTTCATGACAAAAATAAGTGAATTTTTTTAAAATTTATTTTTATTTATTTGCCTTAAATGCATTTGAAAAAGAGGGAAAATAAAACATTTTATATGTATAAAATTATAAGGATATAATTAATATTATTACTAATTTAAATTTAAATAAATATTTTATATTTTTCGGTAAATGTGTTGTTGATGTTGGTATATAATTTTAATTTTAATATGATAATAATATAAGATAAAAGTTGAGAAAAAAATTATGAATATATAAGACCACAAGGTGTCTAACTGATATATTTTTATAACCACAATGAGTGTAAGTGAAAATTTGAAACAACAGAAAGTTAAATAATAAGTTATTTAAAAACAATGGGCCTTAATGCCAAGTTTAAAATCACAAGGGGGTCAAATGATAAATCATAAAACCACGATAGGTGAAAATGAAGTTTTTCCCATTTTATTTTATCTATTTTTACTTGATATTGTTATAAAATTATCTAAAGAAAGTAAATATTTATTTTGATAATACATATTTAATTTATCTTAATTAATGTTTTTTTATTTTAAAAATTAAAAAAATTATAAATTAATGTCAAAATAATTAATTTGAAATATTTTTTCATTTAATATTTATTTATTAATTTTATTATATAACATCATAATTATGGGGCAGGATCATTTGATACCGTTGTCAAACTTTGAATTATGACATCAAATCCTAAGTGTTGATTTTCGTCAATCAACGGTTATCATTTATTGAAAATTAATAATTAATTAATAAATTTAATTGGCGAAAATCATAACCGTTGATTGCCGAAAATCAGTGGTTAGAATTTGGTATCAAATTTCAAAGTTTGACGTGTGAAAGGATCCTATCCCCATAATTATATAAAATAAAATTTAGAAAAAGTAAATATTTTTATTTACTTTTTTGGTGAACAAATATTTTTATATTTATAAGACCACATTGGGTCTAAGTAATATATTTTTAGAAAAAAACGCTTGTCCTTTTAAAGAATATAATCTTGTGTCATTTTAGATCTTAACTATTGATTTTCGTCAATCAACGGTTAGGATTTATTGAATCAAACTTATTAATTAATTAATAATTCGTAATAAAATCCAATAAATCCTAACCGTTGATTGACGAAAACCAACGGTTAATATCTAAAATGACACAAAGTTATATCCTTTAAAAGGACAAATGTTTTTCCTTATATTTTTATGGGAAATGTTATATTTACAACCTATTTTCGTTTACAACCTCTTACAACCATATCTTAATCATTGATTTCTGTCAATCAACGATTATCATTTATTGTGAATTAATAATTTATTAATAAATTTGATTTACAAAAATCTTAACCGTTGATTGACGAAAATCAACGGTTAAGATATAATTATAAGAGGTTGTAAACGAAAATAAGTTGTAAGTATAACATTTCTCTATTTTTATAATCACAACGAGTGTAAGTAAAGATTTGAAATCACATAAGTTTGCTTACCCAAAAAAAAAAAATCACATGAGTTAAATAGTAAATTATTTAAGCACAATAAATCTAAGTGACAAGTTTATAACCATAAAAAATCAAGTGATAAATCATAAAATCATAGGGGATACAAATAAAGTTTCCTTAAATTATATACACATTGGGTTCCCACATGTGGAGCTAAAAAATAATCGAGTAAACAGATACTATTATTGAAGCACGCAAGTTGATACGTTAGTACATAATGTATTATTACCTAACACATCCAACATTTTACGCCGGTCAAAATCACCATTTCTCACGACATTCTAGTGGCATCATTATAAATAAAACTATGTATGGGTTTCGATTTTCTCATGCGGTAGAAGAAAATGTTTTCATGTTATAGATGCATCTTATGTGGGGTCCATATCTATTAAAAAAATAAAAGAAAACATTGCACGAAAATTGAAGGGTCATTAGTAGGAGAAAATGTTTTCCCATTTTATATTCATGATAATCTTATGTGAAATTTTTTATATATTGGATTTTAAAATACATGTATATGGTTATAATTTAAATTATCTAAAATAATACAGAATCCAAAATATTATTTGGCATAAAAGTTTATGTTCAGAAAAATATGACGAATGCCTACTAATTAATCATCATTTAAAAGAGAAAAAAGGAAAATTCAAAGTACAAAAAATAATTGAAAAGACACGATAAAATTCTTTCACTTGTTTTCCTTCCAAGAATCATAGACAAAAACATTCGTATCATTTAACAATTTTCATATAAAAATCCCTATAAACCCAAAATAATAATAATAATAATAATAAATCCAATAAATAACAGAAAATCTAACATCCATTCATAATATAACAGCAACGGAAAAACTGAACTGTAAATATTATTCCCTAGTTTAAAAATAATTCCTTTTTAGTGCATCACATACAACATTCCACTACAAGTTTCGACATAAGCCTAAAAAATAAAATTACATTGAATTGTATAAGTTTCAACGGCAACTGAAGCTAAGAGCTAAATTTCAAGGAAATTTGGGGCAAACCACAAACAGACACCGCATATCGTTCCTCAATTGGGCAAATTCCCAATCTGAATCTAGGTTTATGTTTGAATTCCAGGAACTCACAAGCAATATAACTTTCAAAATCGTATTTCATATATAAAATTAAAAACTTAATAAAATCAGTATGCCAAATTCTTTTAAGTCATTATACATGGGCTAAAAATATCAACGAGTTGATGGCAAAGAAACCAACATGATACTCAATAGAATCGTCTACTAATAACTCCCTAAGATGTAAATCATTCACAATATCAAATATTATCAAAACAATAAAAACTCGTCACCGCTTAAAAGTAATAGTTTTAAGAGAAAATTTTTATTTTTTTAAATGACACAACTTACCTCTTTTCACTCTCACAAAGAGGTAAAACTCACACCTTTATTTATTTTTGTCAACTCTCTCTCTCTCCTCCTTTATCTATTTTCTCTCTCTTTTAAAATAACCTAACTTTACATCCTTTAAAATGACATACATCTTTCCCTAATTTTAATTGATATTAAAAAAAGTCACCCTGATGCTATAAAGATCCCATCATTCGTTGGAGGTAAAGGTCTATAATAAATGATATTTTCACGCGACTGATTACAAAAATCGAACATTTATGACTTCCAGGTCACGTGACAACATTATCTGTCGTGTCAAGGTTTCCTTCAATTAAAAATCGATGCCGAATAATTAAAGGAAAAAACTATTCTCATATTACATGACATAAATTTTTTCTCCTACATACCTTTCGATAACCTATGAAGCACCGATACTTCAAAAATCCTGATATGTCGTGTCCGACACTCCGACACTTCAATACTCGTTGCAAAGACACCAAAAAGATTCAAAGGTTATGTTACGTTGCATTTTGAATTTCAATTATTAGATTCGTTAGATTAGGATTACGATTTTATTGAGTTTAATATAAACATTTGAGATATATTATGTTTCTTTGCAAAATTGATAGATATTATAAGTTTAGCTTTTTTTTTTGTTAAATAATTGAATACTAAATATAATATACACTACATAAATTAAAAATATTATATAATATCAAAATGTGTCCTAACATGTCAAAATTTAACATTTTTTTAAATTAATGTGTCGAAATGTCGTGTTGTATCCCGTGTCGGTGCAACATAGTTCATAACTGTGCCACCTTTTTCTTTTCTTTTTATTTTTCAGGTGGTGGAGCCAACAAATTTGTCTCTATGAGATAGATAACTTATTTCTTTTAACATGAAATTAATAAAACCCATAATTAAATTAACATCCACGAGACAATTTTCTGTATGGCATCAACCAATATTCTTATACATTTATTACCAATTTTTACCCAAGACAATTTGAAGGAACAAGAATTAGAATTGAATGAAAGTTTTATAATATACTACAAATTGATGTATGATAGACTATGGCCAAAAGTAAACCAAGTCCACAATTTTAGAAGCCCTACACTTACTGATGGTTGTTTCATAACATCCTCTGCCAAAGGGGTTTTGTGATGGGAAGGCTACACAGGCAAACATACAGAAAATGATTTGATATTGAGATAAACAAAATGAGTGAAGGAACCTATGCTAATTAATCAGACGAAACCAAGCCAAATGGTATGGTTAAAACTTAATAGACTGCATATATAATTTTACTATATACAAAAGGCTTGAAACCTGAAAAATAAAAAGTAAAAGATAACTAGATTGCAAAGATCTACACATACATACATATATAGATTGCAAGGATCTAACGGCCTCCATAGGTTGAGGAGGCAATCTAGTACCATTTTCCTACATTGCCAGTTGTATGATTCTATGGTGATGAAGTGCAATAATTTAAGTTGAAAGAAAAGGTAACCGAAGGTTATGGAGACAACTGACCAAGAAAGATGGAAAAATGAATTAATTAATTATCAAAGTGAAAGACATTGTACCCTGTGTGGGAGATTCCTAGGCAATGGAATTGCATTAACATATTTCAAGGGGAACGATTTCTGAGCATTAGCACTTGCATCAGAGGATGATGAGGTCTCTACTCCATCATTTTGCCCCCGTCCATGGAACTTGGCAAATCGATTGATGACAGAAAATCTTTCCAAATCCTGACATTCCACTCTTAAGTCCAAAATTGAGGCTCTGCTATCCAATCTGCATCACCAAGATGCAAAATGACATAAAATACATTAAGAGTACAGTACTAGAGTAAACAAAATTATACCTATCATGTAAAGAAAAATAAAAGCATTGGAATAAAATAGAATATAATAATAGTAGCATTAGCAGGCAACCAAAGTGGAGGGGAAGGATGAAGAAAGCAAAGTTTTCTACATGCCCTGTATAACAGCGATGCAATATTGCAAATAATATCATTACCGTGTCAAATTTAATTTTGAAAAGGCAAACAGAAAAAAGGGCATATCGAAATACTATTTCAATATTTTTGAGCAAATTGATTGTTGTAACAAGGTGCACATTAGATTCGAAGAGAAATATATATATGAAATTTAAGTGGTTCAACCGACTACAAATTTTAGGCATACTTTCACGAGAGATGCAAAAGAAAAATCACAATGGTTGAAGATGTTAACGAGTGTTTAAATTATAGGGATTTAGGTATGAAAGAAAGAAAGAAGAGAATAGAGATTTTAAATAATATACTTTTGTGTATAATAATGTAATATAATGCGATATGATATGCTAAAAAAGCCAAAGTACTACCCCTGATTTATAGTAATACAAGACTCCTAAACCTAATTAAATAAGGAAACAAATCATGAAATATGTTTAGAATATATGAAAAAGAGAAATGTTATTTTTACAACCTATTTTTGTTTACAACCTCTTACAACCACATCTTAACCGTTAATTTTCGTCAATCAATGGTTATCATTTCCGACAATCAAACTCATTAATTAATTATTAATTCACAACAAATGATAACCGTTGATTGGCGGAAATGAACGGTTAAGATGTGGTTGTAAGAGGTTGTAAACAAAAATGGGTTATAAGAATATCCTTTCTCTATGAAAAATATCTCATAATATCTTATTTGTATTTTAGAATAATTTAGAGTATCTTAAATGAACTCATAAAAATAGTTTCTTTATTTCTTAATATTTTGTGATTTATTTCCTTATTCAATTAGGATATAGACTATATAGTCTAACTTAAGTATAAATATGAAAGTGTTTTGTCGTTTGTATCAAATCATAACACATCAAATCAATACCAATTTCATATTATGCAAAAAAAAATTCTCTTTTTTCTTCATTTCCTACCTAAACCCCTATAATTCCAACAAAATATAAAAAATATGGAAACTATTCCTAAGAAATCATTAAAGATACTTTTTAAGATATAATCATGATATTATGAAATACCATCTATAGATTCTAACACTCCTCCTAGCTTTAGCTTGTTACAATTAAACATACCAGAAGATGATAGACTAAAAATATATTCTAATGGCCGGACAGGACGAGATTACGTCTGGGCATTGTATATGGGGCCAAACGCCAAACTGCACATGCTTACTAAAGACCAGTGCACTCCTTGGGGATCGGAGACAGGGTGACTGCATTTGGGGATTGGAAATGGAGGCCAGACTGCATTTGGAACTAGAGACAGGACAATATATGGAAAGACGAGAGAAAATAAAGCCAGTTTACGGCAAGACAAGATGAACCGGATGCTGAAATAATAGGAATTTAGGTAGGAAAGAGAAAAAAAAACGAGAGAACAGAGATTCTAAATAATACTCGTGTATGATGGCGTGATATAATGTGAAACGATATGTTACAAAAGACAAAGCACTGACCCTAATACTAAACTCCTAATCCTAATTAAATAAGAAAAAAAATCATGAAATATAAAGAAAAGTAAAAACTATTTCTAAGAGATCATCTAAGATACTTTAAACTATTCTAAGATATAATCATGATAGTATGAGATATTCTTTAGATATTCTAACAAGAAAAAATAGTTGCCCAAACCCAAAGCCATAATTCCAAAACACCAAAATTCTCAATGTGAATGAGATTAGCAAAACTCTGCAACCTAACAACTAATAATAAATCAGAGTTTGTTTGGGGAACATAAGGATAAGAAAATCGGAAATCTTAAAAGAGACTGATTCCTAGACAAGTTAGAAACTGGTAGGGACTTTTCCAAGGCATAAAGCAGAGAAGATCAAAATTACAAATGACTTCGAGCAGGATTTTCTCAACCGGTAAATTAGTTAGAGGCAGAAGTCTAGAGTTTACGTGTTAAGGAGATGCTAACTCTAAGTTATTTCAGAGTAGCCACTGGGAGGAAAAGACCTTATCAAGGAGATGGCACCCAAGGAGGTGAGCTTTTAAGAGATAAATGGATAATGGAACAACAGTAGAAAAATAACAGTTCTTTACATATCAAGGAAAACTTCTGTAGGCCTTTTAGCGAGGGATACGATTGGTTTCTGTTGAAATATATAGTTCCACATTGATTGTGTGGGCAACTAATGTGACCTTTATAAGGCCTTGGACACTCCCACCCTTTGAGCTAGCTTTTGGGGTGGTGTATCCCAAAGTTCTTTATATGGTATCAGAGCCACCCAATGGGCTCTTGTGTGAGGGGGCGTGTTGAGATATATAGTCCCACATTGATTGTGTGGGCAACTAATGTGACCTTTATAAGGCCTTGGACACTTCCACCCTTTAAGCTAGCTTTTGGGGTGGTATATCTCAAGGTTCTTTATAGTTTCTATCTCTCAGGCCAAGTTTTGCTGGTTGGAAAGACCATTCAAAGAGGACCAGATCTGAAGTGTAATTAGTAGTTAATAAGGAAAAAGCTCCCATGCCTGACACAGTAGTTTTCTTCCGGCATAGGCATTTCATAAGACAAGACATTTCAAAGGTGTGTGCAAAGTTTTACAGCAGCAAAATTGGGGTTAGCATGAATAATGACTTTCATTACTTCGATGGCAGAGTACAGATCCAGTAAGGAAAAGGATCACGACCTATTAGCCTTGTCAGTAGCCTGTATTAACTCACCAGAGTTCCTTTTCCTTAGGTTGAAAGAGGATGTAAGCCTGATAGCATTTTAAAGAATCAGAGTGCCTTCAATGTACTCTACGTTTTTAACTTTTCAAATATTCTAATAGGAATCAAATAGTAAACCAAAAGAATCAAACAGTAAACAACAAGGTTTCTGGAATAAATCCTCTATATATCTCTCATTGCAGTAAACAAACATGGATTAACAATGAAACAATTCTGATTACATGCTATAGTGCTGCTATAGCTCAGAATTATGCAGAAGGAAAATTAACAGAAATGTAAATGGATCAGGATCCTTCGAGACGTCCTGTGATCTCCCATTTTTGCATCAGCAAACTTTATGACCATTCAGGTAACGTTCCCTCGTTCCCTCACCCCTATATCCTCGGGCACAGCATGTGTAACAAACTTCTCTAACAGCCCTGCTGACTCAGCATACTCAATTGGGCTGTGACTCACATCAGCAACATCAGCAACCAAGCTGTGAGCAGCCTTCATGTGACCAGAATCAATAACATCCTCCATGGGCCTCTTACCCCTCTTTGGGTCCCAAACGTACACCTTACCATATTGGGCCTTGTGAATTTGGACCCTATCATATTCTATATTATTTATTTATTTACTTGATGTATATATTATTAATTTTTTCTATAAATTTTTCTTACTTTTATATGGATTCATCGAATGTCGATCACAACAAATTTGGAATAAAGGTGATGATGCTGTTTTTGTGGTTGTTGAGAGTAATTTCAATGCAGAAACACGGAATTTAAAAGCTGTGTAGGATGTTACAATAAGGAAAAGCAGTTTAGTTTCCAAGTTATTTTGAGAGAGCTTATGATGAAGTTGGAGTTTCTGTGATAAGGTACTTACAGGAATGGCACTAGATGGAGACATTAAATTTCTGGATGTACGCAATTGATACTATTCTGTGATTGTTAATGGAGAACCTAAGCCTTAATTGCATTAACAAAAGGGACTTAGGCAAGGGGATCTATCCCATCACTTGTTCACCTTCGTGATTGTTCATAATCTTTTGTTTTCAACTGTTGAAAAGGGACCTTAGGAATGGCATTACAGTCAGCTCTAAATCCATTATAGACACTAATTACTAATATAATTCGATCTGCTCTACATAGACAAACTTGGGATTTGCAATGTCAGGTAGGATTGGTTCAGGGCAATCCGTGCATTTGGATGAAACAGAACCCATATATTATAGGGAATCTCCTAGCCCCTAAATTAGCATAGGGATAGGTTATGTTATCAGCTACTCTTTGGTTCCCAGCCCATGTTTGTTTCAAAGAGGTTGCCATATCCAATTTGCAAGGGTACTAGTCTTCCATACTGCATGCTAGCTTTTTACTTCCTAGTTTTCATTTATCTTATTTTAATTTTCTTCAGGATCCCCTGTCCTTGCCCTTGTGTACTTATTTTCTATTTCATAATTCTTTTTTATGTATGATAAATACCCTTCTACCTTTCAAAAACTCAGTATCAAGGAGTTCACATTTTCAATCATTGATCTTCATTTAAGTGCTAATTCATCTCACATATATCCAATTTGATGCCTTTGGTGCATCTATCATAGCTAATGTAGAGGGTTATACAAATTCTGCTATCAAGAAACCACTTTCCGACCTCTTTATAATCACCCATCTCAGTTCAGCACTTGAAAAGAGCTATAATAGCAACATCAAAAGCAGAAATAATTTTTCCAACATAAAGACATTTTTTTATTCTATCTAAACAAATAAACACAAAATCCAACCTAAATTTGCAAAGGAAGCCACTTACACCACCACAGCCTGTATCTCTATCTCATTAGTATGGGAGACCCATTTAAAGAAGCAAAAAGAAAGTACCCAACCAAGACAAAAGGCCTAATTCAACAACAATTAGCCAAATACCACACAAAAAATGAACAGAAATAACAAGACAAATCTATAACCTTAAAAGATTTCAATGCCAAAGCACTTGTTCATTTGTATTCATACAGATAGATGAGCCTGTTTACTAAATTTGTTACTTGTATAGACCAGAGACACTATTTGAGAAACCCATGAAGAAAATAAAATAATGGATAGAAAGCATAAAATTGAATACTTGTTG